AGAAATATTTTTGAGCTTTGTTGTTACTGTTATTGTAAGTTTTTGATGGCAAAGAAAAAAGAGAAAGTATAAGTAGAATATACAAAAGAAAACCAAGTTTTGCCCTTTGAAGAAAACATTGTGAAGGGGGATTGTTTGAATAGGAGAGGCAAGACTGCAGTAACTGGGAATTTCCACTCACCTTTCTGGAAAAGAATTGCAAAATAAACTATCCTATCTTATCTATACTTATCTCTGCACTTTTCAATCTTCCCCTCCTAGAAAACAAGGCAGGCACAAAAAAATCCTCCTTCTCAGCCTGACACACGTTAATAAATCAAATCTATCAAGAGCTGCCTCAAATAGTCTCCCTCCTCCTCTCTGCTGCTGTGTATTCTGTAGACTTGGAAGGGTCTCAAACTCTAACATGGAAATCAAAGTACTTACCTCACAAGGTAGTCAGGAAGATTAAATTATTGAGTTTGGGTTATCCAAAAGGAGGACAGTTAATTAACATGTCTGAAGAAAAACAATTTTGGTTGTTTAGTTTTTTGGGCCACACCCCTTGGTGCTCAGAACCTACTTCTGGCGGTGCTGGGTACAGGGTAGTGTGGGGCTGAGAAAGGGACCCTGGTCCCCACAGACAGTGTCTGACCTCCCCCATTTGTGCAATCTCCCTGGCCCTGAGCAGACACGAACTTGAGATTTAATTGAAGTTAACAGATAACAAGAGGAGAAATAACTTTGAGACCTGGACATCAACTTTTGATTCTTTGAAACTTTGACACTTTGATAACAATATCAGAAATAACCTGCAAAGTTAGGAGCAATCAGAACATCACAAAAGCGAGTTTTGAAAAATCAGAACCCCAAATAAAAATATAAACAGATCCTCAATATCAAGCCCCTTTGTCTTTAAGATTCTAAGTTCATAGATACCTCAACAAAAACTATTTGTGTGGCCTCAGGCAAGACGTGTTACCTGCCTTAGCTAAGTTTCAAAAAAATGTTATCTTGAAAATTCCATGGAGATAGCTCAAAGGGCCAGAGTGCATCTCAGAGGTCCATCCTGAGCCCAGCACCACATGGTCCCCTGACCACAGTGGTAGTCATGACCCATCCACTGCTTATGGTCCAAGCCAAAATAAATAAAGGAAAATTTTAAAAGTTCTCTATCTGAAGGAATTTTTTTTTTTTTTTGGGTTACACCTGGCAATGCTCAGGGGTTACTCCTGGCTCTGCACTCAGGAATTACTCCTGGTGGTGCTCAGGGGACCATATGGGATGCTGGGAATCGAACTCAGGTCAGCTACGTGCGAGGCACATGCCCTACCCACTGTGCTATTGCTCCAGCCCCTCTATCTGAAGGAACTTTAGGTTAAAGTTTAGGTTGATTTTAGGTTCACTATTACATTTAACCTAAACTTTAGGTTGATTTAAATATCGACCAAAATTATTTCCTGGACAGATCACAAGTTATTCAAAACTGAACCGTGTTTTTGGTGTGCACTAAATGACTGGGATTCATTGCTTGAATTCAAAGGAGTTTATAACGAAATAATGGAATCAATATCCAAATTATTAAATTATTAACGTATAACAATTTTATAGGCACTGAAAAAACAGTTTCTAAGTCACATGGCTTCACACTAAGCATAAATAAATGAGTGGTTTCAGAGAAGGATGAAGAATTTCAGGTTAGGAAGAAATTGAAGGAAAGGCAATGGATGAAGAATATGAGGTTTACATGATTTCTCTACAAAGCCTATGATCTTGGGCCAGAGATACAGTTCAGCAGGGAGAGCACTCATCTTGCACCCAGTTGACTCAGATTCAATCCCCAGCATCCCATATGGTCCCCTGATCACTGCCAGGATTGACTTCTGAGCACAGAGCCAGGAGTAAGCCCTGGGCTCAGCTGGGTGTAGCCCCAAACCAAAAAACCTAACAAAGTCTATGATCTTTATCTTTAGTACTAATTTTGTTCTGGCTGTTTTGGTAGTACTGAGAATTGAATCCAGAGCTTCACATATTGAGGCTAGTGTCACAACACTGAGTCACTTCCTAGACCCTTAGTCCTAACTTGGATACTATGAACAAGCCATTCATCACCTTGATCCTCTATGAATCCACAATTAGTAAGGGTCTATCTTTCTGAGTGCAGAGTCAGGAGTAACCCCTGAGCATTGCTGGGTGTGATCCAAGAAGGAAAAAAAAAGAAAGGGGGGGAAAAAAAGAGGCAGCTCAAAACAAAAAGAACTCCAAACTCACATTATGTTGTGTTTTTAAATCACACAAATCTATTCTCTCTCTCTTTTTTTTTTTTTTTTTTTGCTTTTTGGGTCACACTGGCAATGCACAGGGGTTACTCCTGGCTCTGCACTCAGGAATTACTCCTGGTGGTGCTCAGGGGACCATATGGGATGCTGGGAATAGAAGGGAATAGAACCCAGGTCAGCCGCGTGCAAGGCAAATGCTCTACCCGCTGTGCTATCATTCCAGCCACCAAAATCTATTCTCTTAAAAGAGAATTATTTAAAACTTGCTTTTCACTACCTCTCAATTAAAAATAAGCACAAAACCTGTGTGGTTCTTTTACTTAGATCATGAGAAACAATATTTTAAAATTACAACTTCAGAATTTTGCTCCACTCTTCTTGTATTTGCACTGCAAGTTGTCTTTTGCCACTAAAAACAGTCCTTTATCTGACAGCAGTGGAAATAGCTGAAGGCATTCAAGAGCTCAGTTATGATACAACATTGAATTTATCTCACAAAAACATAACTAATGCCTGGGTACTTCCTTTACTCCAGTGTATTCTATCTAAATCCTTGCCAAACACAGAGGAAAGAAAATACAGATGGACAGGATATCCTCAAATTATTTTGCTTGTCTTATGTCATTCCAGACAAAAATCTAGTGCCTGACTCACAGTTAGAAATTAAAATTAAGTCTTCAAACTCTTCAGGTAGCAAGGTCCTGGAGCTGAAAAGCAGCCTTCCTCATAAGCAATCTGTCCTTTCGTGGGTAAGCCTGGAAAGTCTGACATGAGAAACCCTGGCTTTCCAAGATTTCATCGACTATATCCAATATAGCTCAAGGCTTAAGAAAAAGCAATGAAGACTGAAGTCATGTGCACCACTGCTTAAGAAAACCAGTAGGAAACAAGAACTTCAAAGTTTATTCACAAGAAGTTGAAACAGATTGAATTTAGACTTGTGGCCACATTCTGGTTTTGTTTTGGCGCCACACCAGGCAATGCTCAGAGGTTACTCCTGGCTCTGCGCTCAGGAAGCACTGCTAGCAGTCCTCAGGGGACCCTGTGGGATGCCTGGGATAGAACCCAGGATGGCTGTGTATAAGGCAAGCGTCCCTACCTGCTGTATTGTCTCTCTAGTCTTTGTGGAGACATTCTGACGAATCCATTTTTGACACACATTTATGTTATTATTTATTGGGTTACAGCTGGCCATGCTCAGGGGCTACTCCCAAGACCCTTTTTTGTTTGGGCACACAACACTGTGGTCAAGGTTAAGTCCTGGAGGTGCTCAAGGGACCCTATGGGGCATCAGGGATCGAACCTGGGTCGGTGTGTGCACAGGAAGTGCCTTACCCATTGAGCTACCTCTCTGGCCTTTAAGGGCTAGTCCCGACTCTGTGCTAAAAGGTTGCTTCTGGAGACACTCAGGGGACCAAGCAGAGCTAGTGAGAGAGGGACTGCCTTCTGATGCAGAGCATGTGCTCCAGCCCTTTGAGCTGACCCCTAGAAATTTATTCTTTTATTTATTCTTCCATTCATTTATTTACTTATTGGTTTTGTGGTCACATCTAAGTATGCTCAGGGCTTACTCCTTGCTCTGAGCTCAGGGGACAATAACTAAGGACAGGGAGAGAAATGGGGTCAGCTGTGTGTCTATCAGCAAGTGTCCTCCTACCCACTGTACTCTCTCTCCGGCCCCATGATAAAGAAATTAAGGAGTAAATGAATCTAAAGTCCTGAGTGTTGGTGTGTAACTTCAATCAAATCATACCCTTTTCCCTTTCTTTCCTCCTGTTTTTATTCACCTTGACGCTGACGCTGTAGAATATGGACAATGACCATGACAGTGTACTGATGACGACCATACGGCTACTCCCACTAAAGGCCAACTATCACTTGTTTGGAATTGATTTTGACCAAAGCACTAATCTAAGCACATGGCTCACACCTCAGGCCTCTAACAACCTTCTGAAGAGATCAGGACCATGAAAGTTCAGAGACAGACATGTGGGAGTGACGTGCTAACCCTAATTTTTTTGGTATGTGGGGGGAGGGGTGTACAGGAGATCAAACTTGGGGTCTCACACATATGAAGCATGTATGTTACCACTAAGTTATATCTCTAGTCTTAAACCCTAAACCTATTTTTTTTTTGGCAGGGGCAGGGGACTATCTCCCAAGCTGTAAAAAGAGTACTGGGGGCCACTCCTTGCAATACTCAGACAACTGAGCTGATGGTGAGTGAGTGCTAGGGACCCCCAGGGCCACCCCTCATGGTCAGAGGCCCCCAGGGTCATACCCAGAAATGCCTGGGTTCCTCCAGGGCTACTCCAAACAATGCTCAAACAGCCATGTGAAGTGGGGTTTGGACCTGGGTTGGACACTTGCAAGGCATGTGCTCTAACTCTGTATTATCTCCCCAGTGCACTAAACCTCATTCTTGAGTGACGAGGAAAGGATCTTCATGGGATTAATAGTGCTAATAAGGTAAAAACCATGTGAGGATGCAAGGTTGGGATGGTAGAAGATATTTTGAACAAAAGCAGTTAAATGTATATAAACGCTCAAGGCAGAGAATGTACTCAGGGATGTTGAAAGAATGAAAAGAACTTGGGCTGCAGGAATGGAACTGTGGGGCTACCAGCCACCCATCAATGCACATTAGGCAAACAGGGTCACTAGAGTGATCTGAGGAGACAGGTATGCGGAGGAAAGGCTCAGTGTCACAGGAATGGCGTGGGTTACCAGCCAGGAGCCCACCTGTCAGCAGCAGTCTGTACTGGGGGATCCTCTGGACGGGTTTGAGCAGGTAGTGCTTGAGGGCCAGATTAGCACAGCGGGGGCTCATCTGAAAGGTAAAGGCAAGGAAGGTCAATACAAACATTCACTCTCTGTGTGTCCAAAGAGTTTTTAATTATTATTTTTCTAAATTTAGTCACCATGGAATTACAAAGTTATTCACGACTGGGTTTCAGGTATGCAGTGTTTCAACACCGATCCCCTTACCCATGTCCACTCCCTCCTGCTCGCCCAAACCACGCCCTCTGCATCCCACCTGCTTTGATGAGAGTCACACTTCTATTTATTACGTGTTTGCACTGTGTACTGTTGCTCACAGGGTTTCATACTTAACACCTGACCACCTTTCAGGACCACCTCCTCGTCCCAGCTCAACACTTCCCTTCATTGCTGGCGTTGCCCCCTCCCTGTCCTATCCCCCACCCACTCAAGTGGCAGGTTTCCTACTGAGGACCAGTTTCCCATGTTCTACGAAGCAAGGTGCCTCCACAGGCAGGACTCGGAGTCACATCAGCCTGATGCACCCCACCTGAGGGCGGCTCCCTTCCCTCTCCAGAAATGCACAGCACTGGGCTAGGAGGCCGACCAGTAGGATGGGGGAAGAAGCAGTCCTGAAGGGGGCAATGGTCAAAAAGGTTGAGAAACACCACTTGAGGGCACACACTTCCCTTGTTCTAGGTTTCTGGGTCTCTGGGTCTCTCTCTCTCTCTCTCTCTCTCTCTCTCTCTCTCTCTCTTCTCTCTCTCTCTCTCTCTCTTCTCTCACTCTCCTCTCCCTCTCCTTTCCCCCCTCTTTCTCTCATCTCAAAATCTCCTTAGAATTAGTATTCTCCCTCAGTAAAACTATTCTACTTCCATAAATAAACAAATCAACAGCCAGACATTTTTGCAAAGGGATTCAGTGAGAAGCTCCCTTTATTTTGAGGCACAGTGCTAATGCAGAATTTAAAGCAAAAGCTGATGAACAAGCAACTGCACCGTCTCTAGGAGGAAGGCATGTAACTGAGTCATTGGGAAAACGTACTCCCGGCCCCAACTAAGAAAACAGCCCCAACCAAGCTCTTCCAGTGCCTCCAACAGAGCCTTCTCTGCAGCTGCTGCTAGGAAGAGCATCTGCCAGGGTTTCATAAACACAAACAAACCCAATGACCAAGAAGGAGATGCCCAGCCCCAAAGCTAAGGCGACAGACACAAAACCATTATCTGAATAGCATTCAAGTCATAACCAGAGCCAACAGACTCAAAATAACAATAGGTGGCATGAGGGAGAACTGGAGAAATGAAGACGACAGTCTTGCAAAGCATCCTTTTCCGATTAAACCTGAAGGATATCCTATTCACTTGCAGATGAAGTGCTATAAAAAAAATGAAACTCATAATGTATAACAGAACATTTTACTCCTTAGCCACGTGTCAGGGGCTGGGGTCATACCCAGTGGTGCTTGGGGGCACTCCCAGCTTGGTACTTGGGGGGTCATTCCTGGCAGTGTTTAGGGGACCATGTGGTGACAATTATCAAACTAAGGGCTCTCACAAACAAAACATAAGCTCTATTCCTTTGCGGTATTAATCGGCCTTCCTCAGCCATTTTCACTTGACCCTAACAGTTGTTGATTCCATCCTTACAGCTCTTTTCCATAGTAGGTAAAAATAAATTAGAATTAAAAAAATTTTTTAAAGATACTTCTTGGACTGGCAATGTATTACAAAAGGTAAGATGCTTGTTATTCATGAGGCTGTTACAGCCCTGATCCTAGTTCAAACCCCAGCGTCACATATGTGCCTCTGAGCTCTGCCAAGGCTACTGTAGAGAGAACCGGGAACAGCCCCTGAGCACCAAAGCATGTGGTCCCCACAGAAAAAGATATCCTGCCCATGTCTGAGCCTCACCCCCAGGTTTCCAACACCAGAATTTATTGTGGGATGGTATCACCACAACCCAATAAAAATGTTCCTTATTATTTTTTGTTTGTTTGTTCATTTTAGGGACACACCCAGTTGTGTTCAGGACTTACCGCAGAGCTCTGTACTCAGGGGTCACTCTCAGCAGTACTAGGGGGCAGTGGGGATTGAACTGGGGTCAGTGGTGAGCACTACTGTACTATCATTCCAGCCCCATTATTCACATTATTTTTAAGAGAATTTTTTTCTTACAAGAAAAATGACAAGGTATGTACAGAAGAACTCTCGTAATTACACACTGTGTCTATCATGGTGTTTAAGTATATCTAGTATGTTTTACCCCCTGTATTCTCTCGCTGGGCCCTGTCCCTTAAATCTCAGCTGTTTCTTCTACTGCTCAGATTAACAGAAAAAAACACTGCTTTCCCTCCTCCCCCCTCATTTAAGCAGCATTCGGTCAAAATGTTTTGTTTTCTTTTTATCTTTTTCCAAAAAATATAACCACCAAGGTCTGGTTAAAAAAAAAAACAAAAAATTTTACAAAGTCCTAATGATCATGCACGTTAAGAAAGCACCTATCATGCAAGCATCATTAAACAAGACAGCTGGCTTTCACCTGTCATATGCTCCCATTGCTTCCAAGGCAACAGAGGAACGCACTAGACACTGATAGAAAGCCTGGGCTGGCAATCGGTTGCCATGGTTATTCATCTCACGCTTCTTCCCTTCACAGCATGATGATATCAGGGGAGAGAAAACAGAGAGAGGCAGGAGAGAGGACAAATGGTGACAGTGAAATAGATTAGAAGTAAACACGGGCTGGCGGGTGTACTGCAGTAGCAGGGTGTACCTAAAACATTCCTATTCAGCTGACTGCAATTCATGATGCCTCTGTTTAAGAAAAGGAGAAAACTCAGAGGTTTCATTGTTTACTGTATAAATGAGAAGTCAACAAAAACCTTTAAAACTTTTCTAGCTTTGTGACAGCAATTCACTGCTAGTTTTAAGTTTTAAAAGAGTAGACCAGTATTTTAAAAAACACAGCAAGCGAGTAGGGTGCTTGCTTACACGCAGATGACTAAGGTTCCATCCCTGGCACCCTATATGGTCCCCAGCACCACCAGAAGTGATTCCTGATGCACAGCCGGGAGGACACTCTAAGCATCACCAGGTATGGCCCCAAAACAAAACAAAACAAAACAAAAATCTTTATGTCATTTCACCTCCAATAAAACTCGGCTTTTAGACAAAACATAAAACTCTAGCTGTAACATGTCATTAATTTTTTCACAATAAAACTTATTTATTTGTTTAAAGAGAAACAAATCATGTTTCCCACCCACCACTGCAGACTGGTGTTGGAGAAATGGAAGAAACATGGGGTTAAAAGCTAAGACATTCTGGGATCAGCGAGCAATAGTACAGCATGGAAGGCATCTCCCTTTCACATGTCTGACATGGGTTCTATCCCTAGCATCCCATATGGTCCCCAAGCAACACCAGGAGTAATTCCTGAGTGCAAAGCACAGGGCCAAGAGAATAACCCCTGAGCATTGCTCAGTGCTATGACTTCAAAAGTAAAACAAAACAAAACAAAACCCAAAATCCCCCCAAATCAAAAAACAAACAAAAATAGAGCATAGTAGGTAGGGCACTTGCCTTGAATGGGTCCAACCTGGTCTTGATCACAGGTAGATATATGGTCCTTATACTGCCAGGAGTAATTCCTGAGCACAGAGGCACAGAGCCAGGAGTAAGCCCTGAGCACAGCTGTGTGTGGTCCCAAAATAAGAATACATAAGTATGACATAGGGTGGGGGGAAAGATAGTAATAGTGGGTAAGGCACTTGCCTTGCACATGACTGACTAGGGTTTAAGCCCCGGTGCCACATATGGTCCCTTGAGTAGTCTGCAGTAAGCCCTGTGTATAGCTGTATGTGGCCCAAACCCCCCAAACAGGCAATACTCAGAAACAGAGAGGTAGCTCTACAGGTCATGGCATGCTTTGCATGCAGGTGGCCCTGGCTAGATTCAATGCCCAGCATGGTCCCCAGTACTGCCAAGAGTAACCACTGAGAACAGAGCCAGGAGTACACTCTAATTACCTCTGAGTGTGGTCCAAAAACAAAACAATAAGGCACAGTCCCTATAGCTGTCAATTCACACACAAATGTTTTTTTTTTTTTTCAGGGACTAGGCAAGGAAAGAATGGGGAGTTATTGTTTATTGGGTAGTTCAGTTTTACAAGATGGAAAGAGTTAGGAAGATCCACTGCATAACAAAGGGCATGTGCTGTCCCCTACTGAACTATATACTTATTTTAAAGTTCCATCAAAATATTACACTGTGCAATAATAGTGTTTCAAAATTAAACCTTTTTACCTAGTGAATTCTTAACATATAATTAGAACACTTTCCTCCTTGGGTTTGAAGGGATTTTATTTTAATATCATTTAATTGGAAGCCTTGCTTGCAATCTCTCACAAATCAAGAAGCTTTAAGCACAAACGAAACAGAAAAAAAAAATACCATTAAGTGGCAAAAATACCTCAAATTCTCTAACGACAGCAGCAAAGCCTGGGTTTTTCTTGCACTGTTCATCCAGCAGAGCTATATTCTTATCGAATTCTTTGATGTATGTAGAATACATTTTGAGATATGGTCCCTTCTTCACAAAGATGTCAGCAATTCTTTGTTGTTCGGTCCTAAGGATGTACAGCAGACGTGCAAAGACATAACAAAAGTCACAGATCTATCTAAAATACATCCCTGGATACAAGCAGATCCCCATATCCAAGCGACCACCCCACATCCAAGACATTGCCTTATTTTTTCCTCTACCCTTTTTCTAAAACATCCCGAGTGCCCGTTCCTCACCATTTCTATTGCCACCATCAAGTCTTGCCTGGACACTGCCAGGCCCCTGACCAGTTGTCCCTCCACCTCATTCTCTTCCATCAGAGTTTACAAATGAGCAACCTATCTAGGACTTGATTCTACAACCTATGCCACTCAGACAAACAACTCCCTTCCACAATTTACAAAGTCCCAGCGGTGGCTCCACTGCTGTCTTTCTTTTCGACCCCTTTGACAACTTGACAACCACACTGGCATAGAGTTTAATCCCACCATGCAGACTTTCATCATGTGCCTGGAGCTACAGAATCCTGGCTGAGTTCCTTTACAGTCACTGTCAGTTTTTATTCTGATTTATTTAATTTTGGTTTGGGGTACACCCAGATGTACTCAGGGCATACTCCTGGCTCTGTGCTCAGGGATCAATCCTGCTAGGACTTAGGGACTGCATGGGCTACTTGGAATCAGACTCAGTTCAGCCACATGCAAGACCAAGTATCCTATCCATTGTACTATTATTCCAGCCCCGTAATTCACATTATTTTTAAGAGAATTTTTTTTACAAGAAAAAATGACAAGGTATGTACAGGAGAACTCTTGTAATAATATACTGTGTCTATCATAATGTTTAAGTATATCTAGTCATTAGATATTAGTCATTCCTCTGTCCCTAAGTCTGTTATTTCATACTTAGTCTGTAGCTAAGTATAAATCACTTATCTAGCATATTTTCCCAACATGCAGAGGCACATTAATCCCAAACTGACAGATGGTATCTTTTGGGAAATTTAGATCAAAAAAGTAAGAGAGTATGGAACTAACTCCTAGTTAAGACTCTTGTAAATAATTGTTATCTCTTTTTCCCCTCTTTTTTTGGTCAAAGCAATCTTGCTTTGGAAAGGCTTATATGGGATAATGTCCTCGGTAACTGATTTTCCTGCTTTGAAAAATATAAACATGTATTAATTACCAAAAAAAGAAAGTATGTGGTACTATTTTATGATTACAATCATTTGAGCTTCCCCATGGACCCCAAAATAAATTCAATCTTCCTAGACTAAACTTCTGAATATTTCCAAAGGTGTCACCAAACAACAGTCCCCACCGTTTCTTGGGGGGATATGTTCTAAGACTCCCTGGATGCCTGAAACCTGGTTGAACTGACCCATACAGTGCTATTTTTCCTATATACACATACTTCTGATCAAGCTTGATTTTAATTACCCACAGTAAGAAATCAACAATATCTAATAATAATATATAACAGTATACTGTAATGAAGTTTGATTTCTCTCTCTTAAAATATTATATTGTAGGCAACATTTTTAGACTCAAATTTTGTGGGGTTTTTGTTCTTTTAAAAATATTTTTATTTAGTCATCATTCATGGATTTATTTTTGGTTGGGGGTGGGGGTCACACTGGCAGTGCTCAGGGCTGAGTCCTGGTTCTGTGTCATGGGTGGTGCCAGGGATTCCAAGCCGGGATGGCCACATTCAAGGCAAGCACCTCACTCCCTGTAAGTAAGGCTCTCTCTAGTCAAGACCCAGGTTCTTTATTAATAATTCAATCATGGTAAAAAGCAAAGAGGTGAGGCACTTGCCTTGCATGTGGCTAACCGTGGCTCAATTTTTAGCACCACATATGGTCCCTGAGTACTGTCAGGGGTCACTCCTGAGCACATAGGCCTGACCCCAAAATCCAAACCCTCCCAAAACCCTCCCCGAAAACCCACTTGCAAAAAAATTCAAAGGGATTTGCATAACTTGAAACTCCAGAAAAGAGAGCCAGAGCAATAGTACAGTGAGTAGGGTGTTTGCCTTGCATGCAGCCCACCCAGTTTGGATCTCTGGCATCCCATCCCAAGCACTGCCAGGAGTAATTTCTGAATGCAAAGCCAGGAGTTAACCCCTGGGCTGTTACTGGGTGTGACCCAAAAAGGTCAAAAAAAAAAAAAAAAGAAAGAAAAGAAAAGAAAGATACTCCAGAAAACTAAGGGAATGATGATGAGGGAGTGATGATTATTATACGTTTGTAAAGCCAAGCCCTTAAAATTTCATAATATTGTAAACTGATGAAAAAGTTAAAATTAAAACTTTCACAAGCTGACATCAATCTTTAAACTCCTGATTAACAAAGATGCCCATAAAAGTTAAACAGGTTGAATGATTCCTTCTTGCTTTTGAGAGAATATTAACAAAAGTTTTAAAATGAGCAGTATTGAGCTCAGTACACAAAAATTGTGAATTTTGACCATCTAAAATAATCAGTTTACAGTTCACTGTCCAGCAAGGTCAATATATAGAAACAAATTAATTTGAGGGCCATCCCTATGTTACGTGTAGGGCCCTAAAAGCGCTATCATTGGAAAGTGGGTAAGCTGCACAGTTTATTATTACCAGTGGGACATTCTTTCCTCCAGTTCCTTCAGGAGATCCCTGTTGAGCTCATAGAGTTGTGGCAAGTAGTATAGGATCTGATTTAGAACCCGGTCCTCAATTACGGGTTTGCCAAGTTGTCTGGAAGCATGGGCCACTGCATCCCGGAAATCCTATTACAGAGAGGAGGACAAAAAATATATATATATATACATATAACTTGATGAAAAGCTTTGTTTCCCTAGTCCCTTTCTTTCCTTTGATAATACAACTGACAAAACTATACTTCCTACATAGAATTACAAACTCAAAATATCTCTGACCTCCTATTCCATTAATCTAGGTAGAATATTATAAGAAAATAAAAATAAAACCAATGTGCTAAGGCGGCTTTTTCCTGTGACTGGAGGATATGTCTCTCAAATCTTCTAGTACTGATCAATTACACAATGAAGATGCCTGGGAATTTGCACTACAATTCTAAGAAGACTTTAGCTTCTTCTAGTGCTTCCATAAGAAAACAATCTATTTGAGAAGTATCTGGGATATCTAATTTTATTCTGGATTTATGAGTTACATTGCCCATATTCAGGAATTCTTTCCTAACAGTTTAAGCATTTGAAATGAGGCATGTGGAGAGTGGCACATACTAGATAGACATTATTAGAGTCTGGCCCTTATTTTTTTATTTCTAGGATTCCTTGGACTAGCCTCATTGTCCTCATCTGTGAAATGGGTGTAGGAGTTATGACAGTTTAATTAGATATTGTGCAGAAGGCATTTAGTAATCTGTCTAGTTTTGGCACACAGAATCAACAAAATAGGGGCTGGGAAGATAGTACAGTGGAGTACTTGCCGTGCACGCGACAGACACTGGTTTGATTTCTGGCACTTCATATAATAACCCCTGCCCACCAGGAGCACAGAGTAAGCCCTGAGTACAGAGCCAGATGTAAGCCCTAAGCACTGTTAGGTATGGCCCCCAAACAAAACAAAAAAGGAATCAATAAAACATTAAACTCGGGATCTTAATTTCTCCTTTTGCCTTACATCACCTGCTCTTAGGTAAACTCATCAAGGATTATACTTCTCAAACCAAAAAAAGCCCCAAACAGTTTTTTGTTTGGGGGCCACACCCGGTGGCGTTCAGGGCTCACTCCTGCCAGGGCTCAAGGGACCTTATGTGGTGCCAGGGATCAAGCCCTGGTTGGCTGTATACAAGGCAAGCACCCTACCTGCTGAATTATTCTCACTCTCCTCCCCAAACATTCTTTTTTCACATATTTTTTTTCATGCATTTATTCCAATATGATTATTTATAACATTTTAAAAGATAGGTCCATATCACACCCACTCAGTTGGAAAGGGTTGGGTTGGAAAGTGTAGGGTTGAAGATAAGCATGTCTAGATTTCACAATACTGAGTGGGTGGGCCTCAAGATATAAGAAAACAATAGGGGAATTGGTTCCAAAGTCCCGAGAATGTAAAAACAAAATTCTTCCTACTTAAAACAGAATTTGGGCCAAAGAGATGGTTAAGGGGGGTAAGGCTCTTGCCTTGCAGACAGCAGACCCTGATTTGAGCCATAGCACCACATACAGTTCTCCAAACACTGCCAGGAGTAAGCCTGAGCACTCCTCAATTGGGTCGGTCCCAAACCAATAATGAAAACCCAGTAGGTTTAATTAAGACCTTAAAGAAAGACGTGGAGGCTGGAGAGACAGCTCAGGGGGTTGGAATGCATGTTTCTCCAGTTCATTAGACTGGGAGTGGTCCTTGAGCACTAGTGGGTGAGACTCCAAAACCCGCCCCCCCCCCCAAAAAAAAACAGATAATGAAAGTAGAGAAAAAAAGGGGAGGAAAAAAAAGGCTGAGTCAAAAAGGTTCTCTATAAAGCTTTATCTCCATAAACTTTTATTTTCAACTGCTTTCCCCCTCATGGACAAACCAAAGAAGCAAAAATATACTGATCTCAATCCCAATCCCCTGAACTCCCTCTAACATACAAGAAATATTTAGAAATTCTTATAGTATATGTAACATACATATGCTATGCATATAATATTCTTTCTTATGCTTCTCGTGAATGACAAGAAAGTGTTAACTTTTGGGTGTGCTTTTTTTTGGGGGGGGGGGAGATTACTAATTTGGGTCATACCTGGCAATGCTCAGGGGTTATTCTGGCTCTGCACTCAGGAATCACTCTTGGTGGTACTCAGGAGACCATATTGGATACTGGGAATCGAACCTGGGTTGACCACGTGCAAGGCAAATGTCCTACCCACTGTGCTATCACTCCAGGCCAAAGTGTTAAATTTTAAATGATGAACGATTCCCATTAGATAAGTCAATTCCTCTTAATATCCACAAATGCTAATGAACCCTTCAGTTCCAGGGACTAAATTTATTGGTTCACCAGTGCATTAGCTTAAAGAAACTAAAGAACTATTTTCACAACTAATTATAATATTTAAAAAATTCATAACTTGTATTAATGCCAATCCAGAAAGCCACACAAAATATCTCCAGAAACCAAATGGATATTGGCCAAATTCCACCTCCCAACAGCTTGTTTCTATCAACACTCACACTGACTAAGAGAAAATAGAGCTACTTAACACTTTTGAAAGTCATTAGTTTTCCATCAGGCAGAGCTATAGAATATATTTACATAATGTGAATTAACTTCTTCCACTGAAAATACATTCAAAGAATAATAGTTTAAATATCTGCTATAGTATTTTCCCCCCTTAAGTTGAATAATTACTATCACTTGGGCGTCAGGGTTCCTTACTGAGCAAAGCATTAAGCATTGTCCTTTCTTCTGGTAGAGGAAGTGATGAGTGTGTCTGTCCCTTGGCAGCCGACTAACTTTTCTTTTCCAGTTGGGAAGTATTTCCTAAGCCATGACAGTGACAGTGGACATGAGCTGCTAAGAAGCTGAGTCCCTGTTTGACACAGCATTTGCCAGACTCTGCATTCCGTAAGTTTACCACCATTGCCAAAATGGAAATGTGTTTACTTAAGACACATTCAATGGAGACCAGCCAACTAAATCCACACAAGGCTGACCAGTGACCCGGCTGATTACCGCAGGCTCCAGTTACCTATCAAAACTTTACTTTTTCCAGTACTATTGTGTAGACAGCTCTGGAAGAACATAGGGCCCAAGATGCTTCTTTATAAAATTCTCAATAGCATGTCAGAATAAAACCGAAACATAATGATTATAAAAGAAAAGAGGACATTTAATAGAGATCATAGGAATTTAGGAGTTCATACCCAAGTATTGATTACAAATTATCCGAAGGCCTCCTCTAGGAAACCACTAGTTGTGCCATCACAGGTCTCTTTAGCTGGGTGAGGGGCGGGGGTGTCACTCCCAGAGGAGCTCCAAGAACTGTGTGGTACTGGGATCAATCTGCGCGCAAAGAATTTGCTCAGACCACTGGGCAATCTCTGCAGTCCCCATTACAGGTCCTAATGATGTCCTTCTGAAAACAGAAAAATGAGAACCCCTCTTTCCAGGCCAATAAACGCTTACATCAAAAGTCTTCCTAGCAACTCATAGCTTTCTGTTTGTTCGGGGGCGACTCCTACACATTGGGTTGTTCAAGGCTTAATCCTAGCTCTGCACTCAGAGATCACTCTTGGTGGTATTCAGGGGACCAGATGGGGGTCCCAGGAGGATTGAACCCAGGTTAGCTGCATGCAAGGCAACTCACTATACCAGCTCTCTGACCCCTATGGCTTTTTTTTTTTTTTTTTTTTTTTGCTTTTGAGTCACATCTGGCAATGCACAGGGGTTACTCCAGGATCTGCACTCAGGAATTACTCCTGGCAGTGCTCACGGGATCATATGGGATGCTGGGAATTGAACCCGGGCCGGCTGCGTGCAAGGCAAACACCCTACCCACTGTGCTATCGCTCCAGCCCCCTCACCATGGCTTTCTTAATCACACAGCGCAGCCGAGATCCAGACTGACCTGACTCCTTCTCCTCTTGTCCACCACCCCAGAAAACATGCTGTACTGTCATGTGATATGCCACGCAACTAATTCCCACTTGAATTACATGCAGGATCTTAGATTTCTCCACTCTTCACAAACCTCAACCAGTTCCAGAATTGCTGCCATTAGAAAGAGAAAACATCTCTTTTCTTCCTTTTTTAATGAGAAGGGCGATTACAACATACATCTGGTTATTTTTCTGAATACTAGCAGCTAGGATAATTTGGGAATGTGTGATGACACTTAAGTGCCAGAGGCAAAACTATTTGGGGGCAGAAGAATCTAAACTCACCCACACCTCCTTGACTAAATCATTGATGATGCAAACCCACAAGGACCAGTCCTTGGAAAATTAGACCCAGAGCATTCTTTTTCATCGTGGAAAGGGTGGTTAATGAAAAGAAATCAGAGAGAACAAGAGTGAAAATGCTAGGCAGGCAAGAGCTGATTGGAAACAACAGACACATAAAATATTAGTCAATGATTCTAATAAAAGACTCACTAATTATTCTTATATTAGAATATCTGAAAAGGAACCCCACACAATCTAGTTTCTGTTAACAACAACCAAATGTTCATAAGCTGCCATTTTTAGAAATAGAAATGGACTTATGAATTTTAAAGCAAGCCATAATATTCTTTTTTTGTAATTCCCAGAAAGTGGACAAATAAAAATCAGATGATTATTCAAAAGCACACTCAGTTCCTCTGAGGTACTAACACACTAGCCTTACCAGCTCTGATTACTTGGGCATGACCTAACCAAAAATCAATGCAATAAAATCAAGTATGAACATCTAAGGCAACGAAGCTTGAAGCAGATGGCCTGGTTCACCAGGTCAGGCTTTATATCACCAGTGCCAAAGTAAGTGACTTAATTACCAGCTGTCCAGACCAGGCTTCCTGACCTAAGGGCATTACTTAACCACTGTGATGACACAGTGAATTACAAAGACCGTATGGACATATGGGCAGACCTAGAGTTCTGCAGGGCTCAGTGCCTACACAAAGGGCATTGAGAATCACTCTTGTTAATCAAAAGCAAAGCAGCTGCTAAGGTCAAAGAGCTTATGCTGGGGGTGGGGGGGGGTGTGGGGGGGGCGCTTGTGGAGTCCCACATGAACAATTAGACTTTGTTTTAAAATGAAAATATTTGACCATTG